TCTGAAGGTTATATAGAATTAAAGACACATCGAGAAGCTGCATCTTCGAAACTCCTTTCCGATGGTAGATCATACAATTACGATCGCGATCCAGCAAGCAAAGCAAGCCCCGTGGCTGGTCCTTCTCTCACTCCTCTCTGTGACCACCCTTGCAACGCCTACGCTGTGACTGACAACAATCAAGGAACCTGCATCACCGTGCCTGCTTGCCTGCTTGTCTAGGCCAGTCCAGCGCCAATGCCCATACACACAGTACATGCCGGCATGGATTTGGTTTGGAGGAGAAAGTGGCCGCAGAGGTGAGGGACAGCTTGGGCACTTACTTCATACATCGTCATAGGTCTTGGACGCAGGTGTCTCATTCGGGACTACAAGCTTCAGAAATTGTCAGCCAGTCGGGGTGAGGCGTTGGGCCCCAGGACTAGCATCAGTCTGTAGTGCGGTACATCTTCTCCGGAGGGCAGACCGGGGTCCCTCCCCCTAACCCAGGCCAATGGGGAACCGGTGAACTAGACCCAGTTTGCCATGGCTGGATGACGACCCAGAAGCATTGTCTGGCGTGACACTGTGCTTGTTTCCGTCAAGCCTTTTTACTTTGCTTCAGAGGAATCTCCGGTTTGGCAATGGAGAATGAAGGTACAGAGGTACTCAGGGTTCCCAAAGAGGGCTCCCAAGAGCTCAACAGCACGTAACATGTCAAGGATTCGTCGTCATAGGCCAAAGGAACGGCGGGGCCACGACGGTTCGAGAGGGGATGAAGATCTGTGGCTGGTGACGTTATAGGGCTGCGAGATGGACAGCAAATGTGGCGAAGACAAATGGAGAAGAATTGGAGACGTGTGGTTATTTTGGCTCGGACTGGAGTAACGACTGTAACCTGGAAAAGCATGTCTCTTTGCGTTTGCTCAGGTACGCTACCGCACGTGGTGGAGGAAGGGGAAAGCTTCAGAGAGAACTAGAAACTAGGTACGCAGCTGTTCCGCCTGGCGCTCCTGTTCGTCTTTCCGTTTCGTCCAAGCGTGACAGAGTTGCCAAGCTGAGCTGGCATCTGACTGGGGTAGCGCAGCATTGGAGACAAAACGAGAGACGGACTGCGCCGCCGCGCGTCGTGTCTCACAGCCTATTCGGCGAGAAAGTCGCAAGTTTTCCAACAGCTACGAGCCATTGAGTGGGAGCTGTGAGACATTGCAGACCTCTCAATGGCCCTACAAAGGTACCTACGGGCCAGAACCGGGCAAACGCAATCCGTGGTGGCGGTTGTACATACGAGGGGAAAAGACGTGATCCGAGCTTTCTCGTTCGTGTCGTGTCGTGTTCCTCTGGGAGCGAGAGGTCTGAGAGGTTGAGAACTGGAGGTGCAGAGCCGTACCCAGTGGACTTGTGGAGTGATGTGACATGGATCGAGGTTTGACGTTCCCGAAAGCGTATGTATGTGGCTCCAGCCTCGGCCAGGGATGTGATGTGATATCCACAGAACCAAGGCAACGGAAAGGAAGCCCCCTCCAATGACGCAGCATCAAGAGCTCGGCTGGACGGCCCCGCGTGTGGCGTTAGCTCGATGATTGGACAGCCGGACTGCAGACCGGAGATGATGGGAGATTGTGATGTGGCTAGTGACCTCTGATCCTTTTCGTGTTTTCGTGTTTCTTCATTGTAAGATTTGTGCCGTAGTGTGGCGTCACCTACTCCACAAAATGCGGTCATCGACTGCTCAGCTCCTTTCGAAAGCCCGTGGCGCTAGCTGGGCCTGAACGCCTGCATGTAACCTGCTCTGACCTTCTTACTTGACCCCGCCTCAACGCGGCTTTGCGGGGCATTACGCCATGCGGCTCTCATCGGACAGCCAGGAGGAAGCCGGAGGAAGCGCAAAGGAGGTGTGGTGGGAGGTGGGTAGACACGCAGAGTGAGACATACGGAGACTTGTCCTTCCCACCACATCTCTTACTGAGCTCAAGTAGCTCGACCTTTCTGTCCGTCTGTCTTGCTGCCTTTTACCCCTCCATGTCTCTGTTTGTTTCTAGGGTGACAACACAGAGACCCGAACAACATGACAACCCCCGTCCCGGTTGGAAGATCCTGACAAGGAACCTGGATGCAGAAAACCCAACCGCCCCTTGCCGCCGTACCGCCCTTACATTTTTGGCCCCCTCTCATCGAAATAACCTCCAGAAATAACCGTGATAACATCCCTCCAAGGTGAAAGATCGCCGGGAAATTCGGTCATACCAAAGGCATATTTGCGCAATTCCCATCCTCGCACACAGTCACAACACCTCAAGCCTCGTAAACTTTGCCGCCGTCCCTTACAGTGATCTGCCAAAAAATAAAAACTCTTTCTGCAAAGAAAACCCCCGCACTAATTAAGTCATCTTCTCCTTTGGGGTATGCGTGACCTGTTTTTTGACGCCAAGCTAGTGAGAAAGAAGCAAAAACACGCTGGTCTTCCCGCAAAGTCTGGCGCGGCGCCCCTCCTCTTCAACCACACGTTTTTACGAAACGAGCCAAAAAGTTCGAAAGCTCTCTCTGCCGTGGTAACTCGGGGAGAGAGGGAGAGTCTAATCCCAGTTGAAGCTAAAGCCCAAAGGTGATACGGGCAACCGTACCTAGCTCGAAAGCGGTCTGGGGCGGGGGTTAGAGTAAGAGTTCAGACGTCGCGGGTCCCCCGTCCTCTTGGGATCGCGGATCGTGAAATTTTAGAGAGATCTCACTTATCGTCAGGGAAGAGCTTCGGAGGCGGGATCCTACGTAATTTCAATTGCCAATGGTACAATGCTTTCGACCCAATGGTTCCCGATGCCCCCGTCCCAACCCCGCTCACGGGAGCATCAGACTGCAGTGGCTTGGGGAGTTTCGAACGAGGTACGGAGTAACAGAGTATGGGGAAACCTGCTTGACGCCTCACGCCCCCCGAGACACGGGCCATGGTCTGTGGTTCTGTCTCGTTCTGGAGCGGTCCAGAACCGCAGATTCCCACAAGGCCATCACGGTCCATCAGTGATCAAGGATCACGAGGGGCTCTTCTCAAACGCTTCTTCGCGGAGCACACATCTGTTTTCGGAACGGGCAAAAGCGGTGGCTGCGGCTTGCATAAGTGAGGTGAGAAGAGACCCCAGGCTCCCAGGAGGCGGTCAGTAACCGAGGCTGGGCTTTCGCGCTGTTGGTGAGATCTTGGCTAGGTAGTCTGGTTTGCCCGCTTCCCTTCATCTCGCTTCCAACGGTTCTATTTTCCCCAATCTCTGGGAGTATATCTGCGGAATTCATCAGATGGGCGCTGCGGCACTTCTTTGCCTAGTCTTCCCACGTTGTCTGATCCTTCGTTCCCAGTTTGCCCAAAAACTACGTCATTCACGAGCCTTAGTCGTCTTCTCACTTCTAGCGTCCGCGATCGCCTGTTTTAAATGTCTCTCACCACATCCCGATACCTCTCCTAGCACCAGTGTTGTCTCTCATGTGTTAGAGATTGGGCCGCTGTCACTGTGGTGCTGCCATTGGAGCGGCAATGGGCTAACAGCCTAGGCTCGCTTGAAGTCGGCAACTGGTCCAGATTCATGGGCCGGATGATCCCACCTTCATAGTTGAATTGAGGCCTTTTCGAGACGAAAATGTTGGCAGTAGTGGTGGCGATCCCGCACATCTCACGATCTAAGGGCTTGGAGTCAACTTTGCGCACTACTGCGCAGACCTCTAGTGTCCATGATAGCTGACATGTGCCGCCATAAACTCGCTGGTCTGGCTAAACGAGTGTTGAACCCCGTTGACTGCCGAATGAGACCGGTCTCATCGAGAGTCAAACGGTTCTGCGCCGTTGCACACGTTTTAGGAGCTTGTCTCGCGTCGGCAGATTACTTGACGTAGTTACCTGAGTACCTGATAGCACTGCTGCAGGCTCATTATTGTAGACAAAAGAGACAATTCCACATACTTGAGCTGCGAGATCGTCCAAAAGACCTAGATAGGTGGTATTAGAAGGCCAAAATTGCGTCAATAACGCCAATGTTCAAGCTTCGATCGGCAGAGAAAATGCTGTAGAAAATCGTCCTTGAGCTGCAACTCGCTTGCCTCTTTCGCGCGAGTAGTATTCTAACATCAAAGGGTCATCTATGGATCTACTTAGAATTCAGAGAGATTGTGATACCAAGGTATCGTCCCATCAGCGCTCAAAGTGGGCTGCAGTTGCCAGTCAGCATCCCGAAACGTCGCGGCACTCATCCGGGCTTCCTAGGGCTGCGGCCCCGACGGGAGACCCCACTTGCCCCGGATCGCCTATTTGCCAAGACCGCGGAGCTTTTTTCCCTCGCGCCGGCTGTCGGCAACCGGATCGGGTGGTGATGCTAGACTGAAAAGACACTCTGAATTGGGAATAAGGTTATCAGGGGTTGTCCGAGTGTTTTCTGTAGGTTGTGGCTTGACTTGTGGCTGTATCGACCAGTGATAGACGTGTAGGCACCCATACGTATATCATATGGGTAAATATATGTATAAATCCCATTGTGTGGGCGCGATTATAGCCATCATACCGCTTGGATCAATTCGTAGAACCAGTGAAGCTGAGAGAGGAACGCATCATAATATACATCATAGGTGTTCGTAAATGTCAGTAGCGTTTCCATCTTCGACAGGTTTGACAGAAGGGACAGGAACAGATAAGTCGCATGTCCCAATCAGCTTGTAGCGAGAACACAATTCGGTGATATTAAGGTACTTAGATATATGATACAGGAGGTAGGGTATTATCGGGTATCAGGTCTTCCAGTGAAGAGTCAAGCCATTCTCTCATACGTTCGTAAACAAAGCAAAACAGGAAAGGGTAAAAAGTAACGAGCCCTCCAACCCCTTCCTCCTCCCATCATCCATCAAGGAAGTGGAAACAGGACACCGTGAGTAGGCAGCGATGGGGATTTGCCACTTGATCTCGTTTGACTTGTACAAGCCTAGGAGCAGCAGTTTGCCAAGGGTATCAAAGTTAAGTAGGCATTCGAAAAGCTACGCACGCGCTGCCTTTAGACACGCGAAGAGCGGTACCAGCGGCGGCGGCCGGTGTGAGCGGGGCGGCTATCGGCGACGGCGGTGCGACGACGGACCCAAAAGAGACCGACGAGGGCAGAGGCGAGCCAGACGATGGCGGACAGGAAGCAGAAAGCGATGTTGGCCTTGTTGCGACCGCAGGCGTCACCGCGGGGGCTGACATTACTCCAATCAAAGATGGGACCGCAACCATCACCGACAAGCTGGAGATGGCATGTTAGCTCTGATCGGGAATTTAACTTGTAGGACAATGGCGGTGTATGTTAAACTTACGTTGACAAGCAGACCAAAAGCGACGAACCAGAGGATGCTGAGGAAGATGTCCATGGGCCAATGGATGAAGCTTCCCGAGAAGGGGAGGAGCCATATCAAGGCGAAGAGAAGCGACAAGCTGGCCACCACGATGGTGTAGATGTACCGGCCATTGTCCCACGACGAGGTGTTTTGGGTCGCGTGGAGGTAGGCACCGGTGATACCAGCCACGATGGCTGCGAACACGAGCTGAGCTCCGCGGAGGACGAACTGCACAATACGGTCGATCGCCATTGTGATTGGTGACGGCGGTTCCTTTACAAGCTTAGAAGCTGGTATGAGAAATTTGGAGCGGTTTGGGATGATGGGAGGGTTTGTCGCACGGGAAAAGTCTGCTGATCTTGTTGTCGGATGGATGAAGAACCAGAGTGAAAGGGAAATGTATGAGATGATATTACTCTATTTATCAACCTCTCCTCAGGATAGGCTAAAGAAGAGTTGTGCGACACGGGCCAGTAGGGAGAGAGTCACATCAGGATGACGATCTGGTGGGAAAGCAGGTTTGGGTACGGATAGGTAGGCCATGGTCCTGGAGGTCTGGGTCTGCAGACTTTCTCGTCACCGCCGAGCACAGCAGATGCGTCTGGATCACGGCTTGGATGTGCCGATACTTTTTGACTAAACCGCTGGGCTTACCCATTTTGTGACAAACAACATCTTGCAAGGGGAACAAAAAAGGTGTTATCTGACTAGGAAAAACGTGTAACTACACAAGTCCCGAGACCTTTGCTGCAGGACGGCGGCAGTACATGCGCATAGTCCCTGCCAAGATACGATACTTCCTAAGCTCCTCCTCTACCGGCATCGTAGCACACGCGAGAAAAGGGAGGGGACAAGGGCGAGACTGGCTAGAAAAGAAACGTCACCGGGGTTTGGGCTTCGTGGCACGCTGTCGGGAGTCCGTGTTGGCTTTGCTTTCTCTCTCTGCCCAGCCTTGTGAGGTCATCAGACCGGGGGCTGGAATGGCTCAGAGGAATAGACAATGTCAGGCTAGCATGACTCTGATAGGATGTGGTTGTCTACCAACCCGGTCGTGAAGTTTGAAACAAGCCTTTTCCCGGGGCTGTAATACTTACGATCCTTGCCCTGCACTGCAGGAAGCGCGGTGATTGCCCCTTTGTCGAGCTTTTTTTTTCTTTAGATAACTGTTGGGTTTCTGGCTGGCGGTTAGGCTTGTTGGTGTAAGATTGGCGAAATTTCGAATGCCGTCAGCCAATGCGACGGCTTCCTGGGCAAAGGAAAGTAAATTGTAAGGCTAACAAGGCCGAGACCACTAGGTCCAACTACTACGGTTGAAAACAATAGTATTCGTGTAGGCCGAAGCATATCGCGGCTTGGGGCTTCTTGGAAGGATGGAATCTAAACAGCGTGACTTCATCGACTGATGGAAGCATTCTCTGCCGTAATTTCTTCGGAGTAGCAGACGCAAGAATGAGTAATACTTGCGCAACATCGGGACTGCGGCATCGTCTAGAATGTGACTTACAAGAGGCCGCCCTTCGAATTGGCTTGCGACGTGTGTGGCGATCGCTGTGGCTCAACTGGTTCCAGACTCCCCCAGATCAGCAAGGAAGAAAGCAGGATTAGGTGCCATTTTGAGGGGGGGGGGGGGGCCATCACGCGGCCAGCGCCTTGCGACATGTTTGGCCAGATGTGGCTGATCATTGATGAACGTTGTGTCGTGTCGTTTTGTCCAAGATGGGACCAGAAATCAAGACTCACCGAACAAGGTGAGTGTGACGTCACAGTCACATCCAATATTGTAGGGCGTCCCCCGTTCTCGCCCAACCACCGCTTCAGCCACACGGCAAGCCTCATGGGCTGTCTCCCAGCCCGCAAATGAAACCAATCTCTCCTGCCTTAGCTCTGGATGCCCGGTCGGACATTGGTGATTGATTTCAGGACTATTGCGCTTGCTTCTGGTAGCATCGTTTCGTTGTACCGGCGTTGCTAATCTTCATGCAGGCCTCTGAGAGCGCTAAGCGACGCTACCTTACTAGAATGCCGGTATGCAGGCAAGAGCTGGCTCTTCGCTGTTACGTAGGGCCAAGCGCATGTCCGGCGATGGTCCTAGTTTGTGAGATTGAGGCTTGTCGGCTCGATCTGGCGGTGAGTGGATCGCGTCCACGCGTTCGATTGGGGATATGATGTTGTCCAAGACTAGCAATGTGAGCTTCCGTGCCGAGCTTGCCAGTGGAAGTCAGCTTGATGGATCATTGTTGAGCCGACCACCGGGAGGCTTGGCTTTCCATTGAAGATGGGATGGAGATGCTTCGCAGAGATGGGATCGTGGCGGAGACTCGGCCGAGACAGCTTTCGGGCCAGGAAAGCCTTTCTCGGCACTTTGTGGGTCCATCGTCGGCTTATGCTTTGTGGGGTCCCTCGGTAACCCCACAAATTACCGGCCCCGCGGATGTCTCACATGGCCCAAATCCGGGGTACATCTTGGTTTGAATCTGGGGCTCTGTGGCCATACATCTGTTCCTAATTCACCTGAGGTTTTAGGAGCTTCAGGGCAGTCTTCAGGTTTTTGAAGCCTCTCAACCACCGTGACCGTCTGCCAAAGATCTTAGTGTCCGAGATACGCCGCCATGAAACCATCCACTTCGAATACCGGCTATTTCCAGGAACTCCCGGTTCTGCCGAACCAATTCTTCGATGATGCCAGCTTTCAAAGGGCCTTGAGGTGTACGTAACTGACCCAGTAAACTCTTTTCGTCCCATGTCTCTGAACCTATCTAGTATTCCTACCAAAGGATATCATCGAGCGTGTCGAAGTCGACATTGCGCAACTCGGCGAGGATGTGCTATCCGACCAAGTCTTCTCCTGGATTACAGACTCGGAGAAGAACAAGCCGTACTTAAAGGGCAGCGGCCGTGACTCCTTTGGGCGGCCAACCTCCGAGCTGGTCGTCGGCGAAGGCTGGCGCAGCTTGCAAGACTTTGGCATTCGAAAGGGCATCGTCGCTACAGGGTACGACGCCTCACTCGGCTCCTCCGCCCGCGTAGTGCAGTTCTTGAGGATTCACTTATGGGGGAGTTCGGCTTCGAACGTCACCTGCCCATCGGCTATGCAAGATGGCGCCGCTCGGCTCCTGCACCTTCACCTATCTAGAGACATCGAACCAACGCAACGAATGGCACTAGAGAATGCTCTTCAACATCTCCTGTCACGGGATCCAACAACTGCCTGGACTAGCGGGCAGTGGATGACGGAGCGAACCGGCGGAAGCGATGTATCCCTCACCGAAACAGTTGCCCAGCACACTCCATCCTCGGAAACGGCGCTGGCAAACGCGGCGGAGAACATCCCTCTAGGCCCGTGGTCAATTTCTGGATTCAAGTGGTTTTCCAGCGCCACCGACTCTGCCATGACCGTCCTCCTTGCGAGGACGCAAAGCGGCATCAGTGCCTTCTTCGCACCAATGAGGCGACACAACCCCACGGCAGTCACAATGACGGGGCGGCCCAAGGGCGCCGCCGGAACGGAGCTGAACGGTGTCCGGATCCAACGACTGAAGAACAAGTCTGGTACGCAGTCGCTCCCCACGGCCGAGCTCGAGCTTGATGGCATGCGAGGGTGGCTCCTGGGCCAGGAGGGCCGCGGCATCAACGAGATCAGCACCATTCTCACGCTCACGCGCATACACTCCGCCGTAGGTGCTGTAGGATACGTGGGCCGAGGACTAGCTATCGCGAGGGCGTACGCCAAAGTCAGACAAGTCGGCGCAGGAAGGGGCCAGCGGATGCTTCTGGCGGAAAGCCCGCTACATATGCAGACTTTGGCGGAGATGACTGGGGAGTATCACGGTCTCATGCTGCTGACGTTTTTCACGGCATACATATTGGGACTGGACGAGAATCCTCAAGCGGACGGATCTGGCCTATCGAATGCTCTTGCTGCGATCACGCCAGACCAGAAGCACATTGCGCCCCTTTTGCGCATCCTGACACCGCTCTGCAAGGCATATGTCTGCAAGAAGTCGATCCCGCTGCTGTACAGTTGCATGGAGGCTCTCGGAGGTGTCGGGTACATGCTGAACGAGGAGACCGAGTATCTGAACATCGCCAGACTATACCGTGACTGCTGCGTGCTGTCGATCTGGGAGGGCACTACGGATGTCCTCGCAACGGACTTCTTGCGAGCGTTGAAGCATCCAAAGGGAGGACAGGAGTCCATGGACGCCCTCGATGCTTTCTTTGCCCAAAACCATGCGGTAGGAGAGCCCAATGGTTGGAAACCGGTAGACTCGTGGAGTGCAGTCAAATCCTCCCTGATGGAAAAGTCACAAGCAGATCTCATTGGGGATGCAAGACACATCCTCTGGGCCGTGGCAGAAGCGCTCATTGGCGTGCTGCTCCACAAAGACTATGGGAAAGACGGAAGCCAAGCAGCATTCGACGTTCTCTCCCGCCACCAAGCTCGCTGTGGTGGTCAGACATTTGGGAGACCGACTCCAGGAACTTCAGATGAGCCGCAGCTTGGCACACAAGACAGACTGGAAAGGAACTTCACCATCGTCTATGGTAGATCGGGCTCAAGCAAAGCGCCTCTCTCAAAGCTCTAGGAGGCTGCAGTTGCCCATATGCAAGAATAATAAAGTTCAACGTGTCATCGTTCAAGCCTCTTGTGAAAGGACGCAAACCATCTCAGGAGATTCCCACGTGGCGTCCCGAAAGGTCCGTGATGTGGGAGACTGGTCTATCCGCCCGATCTACACTAAGTCGATCACCAATCGATCAACGACGGAAAGGACAAAGCCGGCGAGCCGGGGGTCACATCTCCAGACGACGGGCTCGGTCGAATTGCACCTTCAGCCTCAAGAAGAGTGCCTAATACCCAGTATACCATGACTCTCGCACCCACGTTGCTATTTGAGATCGAAGAGGTCCGAGTGCCGCGTCCCAAGTCTTAGCTCCCTTGGATCTTTGATCACTTGCCGGTGGCAGCAACGTGCCAATGGCAACCTCACTAAATAATTAGAGTTTCTGTCCGGGCGCCCTCCGATTAGCGTTGCTCGATTTGGATTTCTTCGCAAGGAAGCTATTCTTTGTCCCGCCCGCAAGATCCCCCCATGCTCATTGTCTTATTCGGCTTGGGATCGCCGGAGAGGGGGTTAACCCGGAACTGCAACGAGCTCTTTTTTCTTCCTTATGTGTGAGGGGGGATGCCCTTGGATCGTTCCTCTGAATCGCCTGTCTGCCCTCTTTACTCCACCACAGCTTTCCCATCGATTGTAATTGACCATCCACCGACCGAGATGCGGATGCTCGCCACAATCAACACGAGATCATGTTGGAGCCAAGTCCAAATGTGCACTTGGAAAAAGACGACAGCTATCTGCCCGAAGTCTGGGTAAGCTCTCCTCTTGTTTCCCCGGCCTACAATCAACACGCCTGGAGCTAATGGGTATTGCTTGGCAGGCCTGGTACGCCATCGGCGTCTTCATAATTCTCCTACGATTCGCAGTTCGTGTTCGTACCGTCGGGATTCGAGGCTTCCGCGGCGATGATTATTTGGCTTTACCTGTGAGTTACTGGAAGAGCACATCTTTCAAAGTTGTCATTGGTATTGATGCGCCACAGTATCTCGTGTTATACAGCATCAATGTTTACGTAGTCCAAATCTGCTATTACACAGGGGCCAATATCGACATTACTTCAGATGCAGTACCGTCGCTGTCGGATCACGATGTTGCAGTTCTTCAGCTGGGATCGAAATTGGAGTTCATGTCATGGTACACGTACCCTGGTAAGTAATACCTGACGCATCGGAACTTGTTCGAATCATTCGAGATTACTAACGTGAATCAAAGGTTGCATCTGTAAGAAGCTTCACCTACACCCAAGTTGACACTCCGGCCTGACCCGTAACTCTTAGGGGTCTTGAAGTTCACCGTACTATTCTTCTACAAGCGTCTAACACTCGGAATTCTACGAAGACGGAGTCTTGTCGCATTGTTCTGGATCTGCGGATTATCCTACGTCGTGCTGTGTCTCACCGTGACACTCAGCTGCCAACCGTACGTGGCCCCAATGCCAACCGCGATCGCTTTCCTGACACTTTTGAATAGCTATTCCGACAACTGGCGAATCCGACCTCTACCAGGCCCAGAGTGCACATTTCGACCACAAAACTTCTGGATGCTGCTATGGCTCAACGTTCTAACCGACGCCGCCCTCCTCTCCATCCCCGTTCCGATTCTCTGGCACCTCCGCGTGTCCCTTAGACGCAAGATCGGCGTCGGCATCCTGCTCTCGTCCGGCGTTTTTGTCATTTCGACTGCCATCGTTCGTGCGGTCACGACCTTGGGCGGTGCGCCGTCCGTCATCAACATCAACCGCTGGGGGTTCCGCGAGACCGCCGTCGGACTCATCACCGTCACCTTGCCGGTCCTGAGCCCGCTGTTCACAAGGGCGTTTTGGCGCCGCGGTCCATATATTCGCGACTACTACGATCGGCTGCGCGGTCCGAGGACGCCTCCTAATAACGCCAGGTTTGGGAACTGGCTGGGGACGATGGTTCTCAAGTATATTGATGAGGAGGAAGGGGATGTATTACGCAGCCCCAGCGCGGCAAAGCAGTTGGAAGAGGCGGGGTACCGAAGGGAATGTGCCGAGCGTGCGGGTTCCTACAGTAAAGGGGATACCTATGAGTTGGGAACGCAGAGCGGCGATACGAGCACGAAAAGCTTGAAAGGCATTGAGACGGTATGAGTGACACAACCGTGGGCACATGGTGGTTGGCGCGTAATTTGGCATTGGAGCATTGAAGCATGCCCCATCATGTCTGACTTTGTATACACTGATACCCAAATGGAGCAAAAGGATGGGTTGAGAACTGGAGAGTGTATGTGCAGAAAAAAAATGCTGTGCTGATTTAACAATGTCATCTTCCGCAACAAGGTCCCAGGTTAAGGGACTGGCTTCTACATAGACTTCCAATAACTAATTGTCTTCCAATTGGGTTATGGCAAGTCTTGCGTGCCTGAGGGGAGATCCAAACGATTATATCCTCTCTGCACTTTTCAATCCTGGAGAGAACTCAGATATTGGATCCTAACGACTGCAGAGCCAATATTAGACACAGTTGAGTAGAAGTCTCCGCATACGTGCTCGTACGATATTACCCATCTCAGAGGCACGTAGAGCCAAGCAGACTCAGTTTCAGGCGTGACGCCAGAGTGAGATCGTCTTTCTGAGATGTGCTGTGCAGATGAAACGCAACCATGGTTCACCAACTCATACGAGCAGAGCAGGAGTTGCGAGGAGTATAAAGAAACTCGCCGAAAACCTCGGTGGCATCTTGGCCGGCAGAATGACTTCCACTCACCCCATAATCCCGGACCCCCCCCCCCCCCACGGAGTTGTGGAGTAAACCGATGATTGAAGCGGTTTATAATATATAGTTTTCAGAATACGTACTAATACAGTAGTATCGTTTAAACGAGGTGGTGACATCTCCAGTTGCATGCTCCGCATCCTTCAGCGCTGCCTAGGCCTGTAGCACCTGGAAACTTTCCTCCAAGGTGCTAATACCTTGTCTGTCGCGTCCCGTCGCGTCACTCACAAACCCCCACCATCCTCACCTCTTGTCTTCACACCCATGACGCCATGCGATTCATGCGATCGCAACCACAATGACCCGACCGGTCGAGGAAAACGCGATAGTAATATCAGATGGCGAGACAGTATCGGAAGTCGACGAACCTCAGCATCCTAGCAATAAAGCCCTCGGGAAACGAAAGGTTGACGTCGATTTTGAGGAGAAGGAGGTTTGGGACGCCGATTCCGACTTGGAGCTCCCCAAGCCCAAGAAACAGAGGGGGCGGCGAGCCGCAACTGACAAGGGAAAGAAAGATAAGGGGAAGGGCAAGGGCCGTCCATCCAAGAAGAACGGAGTAGTCAAGATCGATGGTACCGAAGAGGAGGACGATCTAGATGTTGCGGAAGCGCCCGACTATTTGAAGGAGCGAAGGAAACAATTCGACCAGACCCGGGAACGACTGCAGGAAGCAGGACTGTTGCTACCACCGGACTACTCAGACGTTGTATTCTCCGAAGACGATCGACCGGAAAACCTCGAGCGGCGTCCACATTTCGACGAGAGCACCAAGATCAAGCCCTGCAGGCCGTACGAAGATGTCGAGCTCGAGTATTCGGCAGGTATAATACCGGCGTCTATCGCGCAGTACTTGCGTGAGTACCAGATCGTTGGTATCAGGTTCCTGCACCGTCTGTTCGTCTACCAGAGGGGAGGGATTCTCGGAGATGACATGGGCCTCGGCAAGACTGTCCAGGTTGTGACGTTCCTTACGGCAGCTTTTGGCAAAACCGCCGATGAGCGGGACAAGAAGCGGCTCAAGAAGATTCGTGATGTGTCCGGTCGCTGGTATCCGACCGTCCTAATCATCTGTCCAGGCTCCATCATTGAGAATTGGAAGAATGAGTTGACTCGCTGGGGATGGTGGAAGGTCGACGTTTTCCACGGCGCGGGAAAAGAGGACGTGCTGTCCGCTGCCAGAGCAGGCCGGATTGAGATCATGATAACGACCTATTCGACGTACAAGAACCACAAGAGCTTGGTCAACACCGTCAAGTGGGACGCGGTTGTCGCCGACGAATGTCACCAAATGAAGGAAAGGAGCTCCGAGGTCACCAAAGCAATGAACGACGTGAATGCGCTGTGTCGCATCGGCTTGACAGGTACAGCGATCCAAAACAAATACGAGGAGCTGTGGACTCTCCTGAACTGGACCAACCCTGGCCATTTTGGCACACTATCGGAATGGAACACCACCATCACCAGACCTCTGACACGGGGTCAATCCCACGATGCGACTCTGAACCAGTTGCGGGACGCTCGAACTACCGCTAGGAAGCTCGTCACGAATCTGCTCCCGGGCTTCTTCTTGCGCAGAATGAAGACACTGATCGCTCACCAGCTGCCCAAGAAGAGCGACCGAGTCGTCTTTTGCCCTCTCACGGACCAGCAGCAGGAAGCGTACAAGAACTTCATCAGTAGGCCTGAAGTCGAACTTCTGCGCACCCTGTCCGACCCATGTGAATGTGGCTCCGGCAACAAGCAAGGCTGGTGTTGTCGCAAGACTCTTGACGATGGTACGGGGTGGCAGTCCATCATCTTCCCCTGCGTGACGACCTTGCAGAAACTGTCGAATCACCTCACCCTTCTAATTCCGGCTACGGGAAACGAGCAAGACGACAAGCACAAAAGAGAAATGCGCACGCTACAGACTTGCTGCCCAGACACGTGGAAATACCTCTACAAAAATAGAGACGCGATCATGAACCTGGCTAACCCGGAATTTTGCGGCAAGTGGAAGGTCTTGAAGAAGCTCCTCAAGTTCTGGCATGACAGCGGCGACAAAGTATTGGTCTTCTCGCACAGCGTTCGCTTGCTTCGCATTCTTCAACATCTCTTCCACAACACCAGCTACAGTGTCACATATCTGGACGGGTCGATTAGTTACGAGGACAGACAAAAGGCTGTGGATGACTTCAACTCTGACCCGACTCAGTTCGTCTTCTTGATCTCGACCAAAGCTGGTGGTGTTGGTTTGAACATCACTTCTGCGAACAAGGTAGTCATTGTCGATCCTCATTGGAATCCGTCATACGATCTCCAGGCCCAAGATCGAGCATACCGTATCGGTCAAGTTCGGGATGTTGACGTCTTTCGGCTCGTCTCTACCGGAACCATTGAGGAGATTGTCTACGCGAGACAGATTTACAAGCAGCAGCAAGCAAACATTGGCTACACAGCTTCATCCGAACGACGCTACTTCAAAGGTGTCCAGCAGGACTCTGAGCGCAAAGGTGAGATCTTTGGGTTGGAGAACCTCTTCACGTACCGCGAGAACCAGCTTGTGATCCGCGACATTGTCAACAAGACCAACATCGCCGAAGCGAAAGCCGGGAGCGGTATCGCAATGACCACCGTCGACATGGAGAAGCTCGCCAAGGAGGAAGGCGAGGAGCTGGGCAAGGTGAAGCTAGAGGGTGCGGACGCGTCGGAAGACGGCGACATGGGCCAGCTCGCAGCTTTCCTCGCCGCAAAAGCTGGTGGCGAAAAAGCAAAGAATCAACAGGCCAAGAGCGACGCCGTCCAGGCTATCCTGTCTTCGGCAGGCGTCGAGTATACGCACGAGAACTCGGAAGTGATTGGCACGTCCAAGATTGAGGAACAGCTCTCGCGCAAGGCGGAGATGGCCGCCAGCTCCGATATCGAAGGGGAGGGCGACAGCGCGCTGTTTGCGGATAGTCAGGTATTTGACGTGCAGGCGCAGAAGCTCAAGGGTTTCTCGTATGTTTACAATCCGCCAGAAGACGCCATGCAACGGCAATTCTGCTCCATGGCGCGCGAGTTCGGGTTCGCGACGGCTACGGAGTTTGCGCTGGTCGTTGGGAGCTGGACGCAGGCGCAGAGGCGGAATTGCCTGGAATCGTTCTACAAGATTCGCGAGGGCAAGTTGTTGGCGGAGGAGACTGTCAAGGCGGAGACGCAGGCGGAGGAGGCGGCTGTGAAGGAGGAGGTTAAGGCCGAGGTGAAGGATGAGCCTGGGACTGTGGTCAAGGTGGAGGCTAAACAGGAGAACCTGATGATTGATGACAGCAGCACGGAGACGGAAGAAGAGGACGTCAAGAAGGAAGATGACGCGGAGAGGAAGTCGACGGTTAAGTTCGAGAACGGCGGTGGTCCCAAGCGGACGCCAATTTTCATCTACGACAGTGATGATGATGAGCTTTGATGGCGTTTAGGCGATGGCTATGAGATACCCCACGGCGTTTAGGATCTTTAGAAATATCTATCAAGAGTAATAGAGATGGGCTTCACAGCCTCGGTATCAAGGGTCCCAGTCACGCAAACCCCCCCTTCTCCCTTCCCCGGTTTAGACAATCTAGCCCCTGCTTGAGCACTGCTTTCAAAAACATCTTCACTTCCAATTTGATGGTTGTCCCAGTCCCGCTGTGAAGAGTACCTTTTCAGCAATAAAACCTCGTCTGGATCTAGCAGAATACTAAGAGACACCATATACTTGTCGCGGCTGTCTTGTCGCCGCCATTACCAGCAAACCGTCTCCCCAAAAGACGCATACCGTCGAAAGAAACAAGAGGCTCGAGACGTACAATCTTCGGTGTCCTTGTCGTGAGTATTGACACTTAGGAGACAGGTGAGAGTGGCATCGTTGCCGCTATACATTATTCACGACAACAACCTCAGTATTTCGCAAATGTCTCACTTGTGAGTCCATTTGCGGTATGACAAGGAATTGTGCAATGGTGATTGCTGGTCGGCCTAGCTGGCCGTCTTCAGTCAACTACATACCCCAGATGGCAAAGTGGACTTTGACGGCACTCATGGGAAGGGTGAGTGTTTTCTTCTTTTAGAGGAAGGTGACTTCGATTCGAACAACCCCTGTACGCGCGCGTGTGTGTGTGAATAGCGAGCCATTACCGCGCGAGTCTGAACGAGGCCGAGATAACCACCGCGACGATAATCGGACCGGAATCTCGGAAACCGATGTTTCTCCACAGAGAGGAGGGGAGGGGTACGAAGTACCTGATCCGTAAGGTAGCTTATGCAAATACCAGCAGATGCACCTCGCTCTCTCTCTCGCGCGCGCGCAGTGCACATGCTGGATGCAGCTGGCTGCTGGGCTAGGTGGCCCGGGATCGCAAAAAGCACGTCAACTGGC